AGGACTTTTCTTGGAATTTTTCAAAATTATTAATTTTTTAATTTCTTACCTGTTCATTTTTGTGCAATATTTGATTTCTCCCCTCAGGTGCTGTACCCTTCATTCTCCCACCACCATAGCATTTACAAACCATCACAGCACATCCCTGTGCTCTCCCTTAACTGTCTTGATACCTCTCCCTTCCCACTCTCCTGCTCTATGACTTAGATCTATGGTTTGCCTGCAAGGTTTGTCTTTTTCCTGTTTTTTTGTGTTTTTTTTTTTTTTTTGTCCAGCTCCTCTGTATTTCCCTATATGAGACTATCTGTTATTTTTCTTCTTCCTTCTGACTTATTTCTCTCAGCATAATCCTTTCCAGCTCTATCCATGTTTCCACAAATGGCATGAGTTTATCATTTTGATCACTGAGTAGTATTCCATTGTGTATATATACCACATCTTAATTGATCCATTGGTCTTTTATGGGGGCATTTAGATTGTTTCCATATCTTGGCTATTGTAAATAGTACTGCAATAAACAAGGAGTGCAAGTTTCCCTTCAAATTAGTGTTTTTGTGTTCTTTGTGTATATTCCCAGGAGTGGAATCACTGGATCTTTTGGTAGGTCCATTTTTAGTGTTTTGAGAATCCTTCACACAACATTCCATAGTGACTGGACCAGTTTGCATTCCCACCAGCAGTGTGAGAGTTCCTTTTTCTCAGATCTTCACCAGCATTTGTTATTACCAGTTTTATTTTTTTTTAACATAGGCCATTCTCACAGCTGTGAGATGGTATCTCATTGTGGTTTTTTGGCATCTGTGTTCCTTAGAGAGACTGGTCTGTAGTATTCTTTTTACATGTGTTGTCTTTGTTTAGTTTTGGTATTCAAGTGATGTTGACCTTGTAAAATGTATTTGGAAGTATTCCTTCTTCCTCAATTTTTTGAAAGACTTTTTAGCAGGATAAGCATTCATCTCTGAATGTTTGCTAGAATTTGCTTATGAAACTATCCTGTTCTGGGCTTTTGTTTCTTGGGAGGGTTTTGATTACTGTTTCAATTTCCTTGCTTGTAATTGGTTTATTGTGGCCTCTCTACCACTTGGCGCCTCTGCACCTGTGTGTGTATGGCCTCCCTGAGTACCCATGTGTGTGTGAAGGATTTGGATAAGGCAATCTTGCATGACTGCCTTAAGACAATGGCCCACATCATGAGGCAGCTGGGGACACATAGGTACCCATTGACTAATTGTGTGGACATGGTCTGAGGTGGTCTAGAAGTACCTCAGCTATTACATCAAGTACCTGCACGGGAAGTCCTCCTTGTATATGTGGCGAACAAGTCCCTTCCTGTTCCCTATAAAGTTGATTACCCTCTGTCTCCCCTGGACCCTGCTCCTGCTGCCACTGCCACATAATCAATCATGTTTGTTTATTACTGCTAATAAATAGCAAGCAGAGAAGCAGAGTCTTGCTGCTTACCGAGCAGCAGAGTCTTGCCTTGCCAACCTGCTCCATAACTGGTCCCTCAGCATGTCCCTGGGGGTGTGTTGGCATGTTTCCAAACCAACAGTTTGTCCAAGTTTTCTATTTCTTCTTTGTTCAGTCTTGAGTGATTGTGTGAACCTAAGAATTTTTTCAACTCATTGAGACTATTAAACTAATTTGCATATAAATGTTCATAGTAATCTCTATCTTTCAGATTTCTGCTGTCTGTTGTAATTTCTCCTCTTGCATTTATTCTTTCTATTTATTTGAGTTTTCCCCTTCTTTTTCTTTGTGAGCCTGAGTAGAGGTTTATCTTTTTTGTTTATTTTTTTCAAAGAAGCAGATTTTGATATCATTGATCATTTGGATGGTTTTTATTGATTTCTAGATCATTTATTTATGCTTTAATTTCTATAATTTCCCTTTTTTCTACTGGCTTTTGGGGTTTTTTTTTAGTTCTTCTAGTTCCTCAAGATGGGATATTAGGTAGTTTCTTTGTGTTCTTGATTCTTGATGTGGGCTTGTATTCCTCTTAATTCTGCTTTTGCTGTATCCCATGTGTTCTGGAAGGTTGTGTCACAAGTTATTTTTTATTTCTTCTTTGATTTTCTCATTACCCAATGGTCTTTCAAGTAGCATGTTAATCAATCTCCATGTAATGGGAGATCACCTTGCTTTCTTTTTATAGCTGATTTCTAGTTTCATACTTTCATGGTGAGAAAATATTTAATATTATTTCAATCTTCATGTATTTGTTGATGTTTGTCAAACATCAACAAATACATGAAGATTGTGTTTCTTGGAGGCAGTGAAAGGTCTTTGACTCATGAAAACTTTACTACTATGTGTCTTGCTGTAGTTTTCCATTCATTATGATAATCTGACATCATTCTAGCCATATAGCCATATGTTTATTATATTTCCTTCTTCATGTTTGGGAAATTTTCTTCAATTCTTTCCTTAAATAGCTTTTCGGCTCGCTTGTTTATCTCTTCTGGGATTCCTTTGACTATTATATTTCAGACCGATGACTCTGATAATTATCAAAATATTTCTTCATTCTTTTTCTTTTGTCTCTTTCTTCTTTGATTCTTTTTTATATCTGTGTCTTCGAGATTACTGATCTGTTCTACTATATCATTTATTCCATTTATTCTATTTCCATGTCTTTTGCAGAAATTTTTACCCTTCCATTGATCTCTTAACATCCTGCAATTCCTTTATTTTCTTATTTAAAGTTTTAATCTTGATATTCTGTTTGTTGATTATTTCTCATAACCTTCTTTTCCTTTTTTTCATCTTCTTGTATATCTCTGTTATGGTTTTCTGAGTTTTGTTTGTATGGTACAAATTCTTTGGTTTTCTTAATTATGGCAATTTTGAATTCTTCACCTGTCAAGAAGAAAAATTTTTCCATGACAGTGTGGATTCTGGAGACTGATTTTCTTTCAGTGGTTATTGTTCCCTGAGGACTTGCTTGACCATTTGTATTTTACTTTCTCCTCATTGTTTGCTTTTGATTTGTTCCAGGCATGGGTCATCTGGGTGAGTGTCTTGGCTGCTGGGGCCTGCAGATGGTGCCTTCAGTGGTTCACACCTCTGCATGGGTCATCCAGACTTCTGGAGTCAGTGCGAGGGAACATGGGTCATCCAAGCTGCTGGGGCTGGTGGGCATTCCTACTGGGATATTAATCATTCAGGTTGCTGGGGCTAGCTGGTGGGAACTCCCACAGCTCCCACCTGGATGTGAATCATCCAAACTGCTGGGGCCAGTGGGTAGTATTTTCCATTTATCAGAATTTTATATAAAATTTAGGAATTCAGACAGTATGGTACTAGATCCAGACTATATAGTAGATTAATGCACATCAACAGAAAAAGAAAAAGGGAAGAAATGGGGAAAAAGAACAGAGGAAAAGAGAAAGGAAAGGAGGGAAGAAGGGATGGAGGGAGGAAGTTATTGTGGGAAGGAGAGGATAAGGGAAGAAATGAGGAATGAGGAAGAAAGAAGTAAATAGATAAATAGATGATAGTTGATATATTGATATGTGACAGAGAAGTACTGCCAGTAAATAGAAAAGGAATGACTGTTCAATAAATGATGAAATGGTGCTGATATAATTGTTTATCCATTTTAAATGCAAAATATAATTGTACATTCATTCAAGATTCAAAAAGCACATGTCACACTCAAAAGTAAATTCATAGCAGATTACTTAAGTGTGAAAAGCAAAATTTTCTTGGAAGAAAGTATGGAAGAGTATCTTTATGATCTCAGGTAAGAATGGGTTTGTGAATATGCAATATACAAATTCCACATAGGAAAAAAATGGATGCATTTGTTTGCAATAAAATTCAGATATTATGTTAATCAATTCATAAAATATTTAATGACCAAACATTAAAAGAAAATATTTTCAACATATTTTATTGCAAAAGGATAGATACACATGGTAAATTATCTCTATGATTTATTTAAATAATAATTTACTTTTTTAATTGTGAGAACATTATTATTCTCCCCATTATGTATTGCCACCATAGTGTACCTGCCACCAAATCACCACAGCTTACTCCTTACTTCTTTGTTCTTACTCCTCCTCCACTTTCTCCCCACTTTGGATATTTCAGTTCTTCAGTCAGTTCTGAAAAGCTACTTTTTTAGGTTGTCTCTCTCTGGTTCTGAGTTTGGATTCTCTGTATTCCACATATTAATAACACCATCTGGTATTTATCTTTTTCTTTCTGACTTATTTCACTTATCTCTTTCAATTCCACCCATGCTACTGCAAATGGCTACATCAAACCAAAAAGCTACTGCACAGCAAGGAGACCATAACTATAACCAAGAGACACCCTATGGAATGGGAGAAAATATGTGCACACCATACATCTTACAAGAGATTGATATCAAAGAGCTCATACAACTCAACGAAAAGTAAAAAAAAAATCAAAAATCAAAAAATGGACAGAGGAAATAGACACTTCTCAAAAGAAGACATGTAGATGGCCAACAGGCATGTGTAAAAATGTTCATCATCATTTATCATTAGGGAAATGCAAATAAAAACCACAACGGGATACTACCTCACACCTGTGAGAATAGCCCACATCAAAATGACCAGATACAACAAGTACTAGGGAGGGTGTGGAAAAAAGAAACCCTGTTATTGAGTCCACTGCAGACCCTGCCTCAGATTGGACAAAAAAGGGATACACAAATGTAAGAAAGTGCATTATCAAATGAATTTATTTCCTTCATTTACAGGTTCTATAAGACTGAACAAGCAAGGAAGGTGGAGAAAAATGGAGTCTCTAAAATTTAGTAGTGGTTTGGAAGGAAGAGTTATGCCAGGGTCACTATTCATTCTTTAAGAATGCATTATTTTGGATGAGTATATTTAATACTTTTACTTATGCATTCCTAAACTGGTTCTTTAATTAAGGCTATCCCAATCTAGTTATTTATATAAAATTAAAGCAATTGTAATTTTAAAACTTAAATGAAAACACTAGGAATATTAAAAAATTACCTGGAAGTTCTTTATTCATTGAAGGTAAATGGGTGGCTTTATAAATGCCTGACTCATCATGAGATCTTCTAGGAAGTGTTTCAGAAAAGTCAGTCACATAAAATAAAATCTCCTCATTATATTTCTCTAGAAAAATTGAGAAAATGTTACTTTTAGATTTATCAGATTTATAGCTTTGTTAATACACAGTAATTTACTTGCAAACAAAAATTAAATTAAAATTACAGAAATTAACTTTGGAATTAATTAGCTTAATTGAATTTATACAATTAGTTTAATTAAATTTATACACACATAGACACACACATGTGGCAAGTCTTGGGGCCTGTGAAAATAGCCCTTTCTGGACTAGAACCCCAGGGTAGCAGACATATGCTCAATAAGCTCTTTACTGGGAGCTACTGTGGCTTAAAATTAGTCAGGGGAAAATATAATGAACTGGTGTCACTGATATCTGGTATCTGGAGAATAGTATAGATTATAGTCAGCCCCCAGATTTATATTAAATGATATGCCTGAAACTGAGGTCATAGCTCAGACCTCAATATAATAAAGACATAGACAACAAACCCACAGCTAGCATCATACTCATTGGTGAAACACTGAAAATAATTCCTCTAAGAACAGGTACAAGTCAAGGATGTCCATTTTCATCACTACTACTGAGCAAAGTATTAGAAGTCCTAGCTAGAGCAATTAAGTAAGGGAAAGATATAAAAGGAGTTTAAGTTGAAAAAGAAGAATCTATCACTATTTGTAGATGACATGATGGTATGCAGAGGATAATCTAAATAAAGATGCCATTAAAAATCTATGAGAAGCTGGGCATCCCCAGTGGCGCAGCGGTTGAGTGGTGCAGTGGTTGAGTGCCGTGCTGTGAAGCCGTCCGCGGTCTTTTCAGCGCCGGTTCGATTCCCTGCCAGCCAGAGAGAACCCCACATGGCGCAGCAGACCTCTCCTGCCTCGCCCGCTGCTCCCCTCAGCAGTGTATTTTGTCCATCTGCCTGTTCTGCTCTCCGCTCTGGCTCTGGTGAATTCTCTCACCCTCCTGTGCTTCTGACCTGTACCCCAGTTCTTGTATAAAATAAATAAATAAATCTTTAAAAAAAATCTATGAGAAGAAAACATAAGTATGTGATATGACAGGTAAGACATACAATAGACAAAAGTCTTTTGCATTTCTGTATGCACAACAAGCTCAAAGAGAAAGAAATCAGAAAACACCCTATTTACAATTGCATCAAGATTTAAGTGCCTATGAGCAAACTTAAGCAGGTGAAAGACATATATGACAAAACCACAAGACATTATTTTTAAAAAAAAAAAAAATTATTTATTTATTTATTTATTTATACAAGCCCTGGGTACAATCAGAAGCACGGGAGGGTGAGAGAATTCACCAGAGCCAGAGTGGAGAGCAGAACAGGCAGACTGACAAAGTACACTGCTGAGAGGAGCAGTGGGCGCCAGGAGAGGTCTATGCATCATGTGGGACCCTCGCCCAGTGGCTGGGGATTGAACTGGCATTGCAGAGGCTGCGGGCAGCTTCGCAAGCCAGCGCTCAACTGCTGCGCCACCGGGGAGGCCCAATACATTATTAAAAGAAATAGAAATTACAAAAATATGGAAAGTTATTCCCTGCTCACATTTGGAAGCACTGACATTGTTAAAATGACCACCTTACCCAAAGCAATATACAGATGCAATATAATCCATATCAAAATTCCATTGGCATTCTTCAAAGAAATACAAAAAAAGTGATTGAAATTTATGAGGTACAAACCCCGAATAGCCAAAGCTCTACTGAAAAAAAAAGAAGGAAATGGAGGCATCAAACTCCCAGACTTCAAACTATACTACAAAGCCATAATCATCAAAACTGCATGGTATTGGAACAAGAACAGACATACAGACCAATGGAATCGAATAGAAAATCCAGAAATAAACCCACAGATTTATGGTCAACTAATCTTTGACAAAGGAGCAAAGACTATGCATTGGAGCAAAGAAAGTTTGTTCAATAAATGGTGCTGGGAAAACTGGGTCGCTACATGCAAAAGAATGAAGCTTGACCACTACCTCACACCATACACAAAAATCAACTCAAAATGGATTAAAGAACTAGACATAAGACCTGAAACCATAAAATACATAGAAGGAAATATAGGTGAAACACTACGGGATTTGCACATCAAAGACATCTTTACAGACACATCACCCAAAGCAGTGATAGTGAAGACAAAGATAAACAGCTGGGACTACATCAAATTAAAGAGCTTCTGCACAGCAAAAGAGACAATAACAAAAACAAAGAGAAACCCCACCAACTGGGAGAACATTTTTGCACCCAACACTAATGATAAAGGACTGATCACAAAAATCTGCAAAGAGCTGATGAGACTCAGCAACAACAAAGAAAATAATCCAGTCAAAAAATGGGCAGAAGAGCTAAAAAGAAACTTCTCTGAAGAGGAAATGCAAATGGCCAACAGACATATGAAAAAATGTTCAACATCACTTGTAATCAGGGAAATGCAAATCAAAACTACCATGAGATACCATCTCACACCAGTGAGAATGGCACATATTAAAAAAACTAGCAACAACAAATGTTGGCGAGGGTGTGGAGAAAAAGGAACTCTTGTGCACTGTTGGTGGGAGTGCAAACTGGTCCAACCACTATGGAGAGCTGTGTGGAGATTTCTGGACCTACTAAACATAGAGCTTCCATATGATCCAGCAATTCCACTCCTAGGTATTTACCCAAAGGACACAGAAACATCAATTCCAAAGAGCACCTGCACCCCTATGTTTATAGCAGCACTGTTTACAATAGCTAAGCTTTGGAAACAACCCAAATGCCCAAAAGTAGATGACTGGATCAAGAAGATGTGGTACATATATACCATGGAATATTACTCAGCATTCAAAAAAGATAAACACATGCAATTTGCAGCAACATGGATGGCGCTGGAAGGGATCATGCTCAGTGAAATAAGCCAAAAAGAAAAAGAAAAATACCGGATGGTCTCACTCATAGCAGGAATCTAGAAAACTTAAATAAGGGACCAGGAAAATGAATATAAGAAAGTGAAAATCAAAATCAACAAAAAACTATGAACCAGAGACACTTTTTGGGGGGTGGGGGGCGGGAGGGGAAGGATTGGGGTCAGAATGGGGCATTTGCAATTGTATGGGGGAATATAAAAATAAAATTTAAGATTAAAAAAAAAAAAAGAAATTTATGAGGTACAACAAAACATCCTAAATAGTTGAAGCAATCACTGCAAAGAAGAATTAATGTATCATGCTCTCAGACCTCAACTACAATGCAAAGCTTCAGTATTCAAAATAGCACAGTATTGGAATAAAAGGAGATGCACATTCACTGGTATAGAATTAAGAGCAAGAAATTCATAGTTTATCTAAAACACAAATAATCTATGACAAAGAAGCCAAGAGTATACAATGGAAAAATGAGAGTTTCTTCAAATATATTGCAGGGAAAACTAGACAGCCACATGTAAAAGAAGGAAACTAGATCACTATTTCAAGTCATTCACAATAATCAACTAAAAAATCGATTAAAAGCTTGGATGTAAGACCTGAAATGATGAAATGCATATAAGAAAATGGGCATCGCCCATTTTGTGACACTGCCCTCAACACTATCATTGGGATTTAACACCAACAGCAAGGGAAACAATAGCAAAAGTAAACGATGAGAATATTAAATGACTACATTTAAAAAGCCACAAAAATTATTCTAAGCTCGTAGAGACTTCATAGTGTTACATATAATTTTTACCTTCTTTATTAAAGGGTGAAAAATTTATCACTTTTGTTGGAAATTTTCGCAGTGTAGTGTGTCTGTTAAATGCATCTTGTTGCTGTGTAACTATATTCTTGGGTTTGCTGAAATCCAAACCTAATATTCAATTGAAAAATAAAAAATACATTAAGTGCATGAATATTCACACACTCCTCCCCAAGCCCTATGTATTTGTTTTTATTCACACATCGATAATGTTCCATTCACATACTTTATTGTGTGGCCTTTTGTCTATTAATCTCGTTTCTATAAAACTTTTACATTTTTTCTTCTTTGTCTTTAATCTGATTTCCTTGATAGCATCTTCCATTTTTTAATTATTAAGATATACTCAGTACGCAAAATAACTGCACATATTCAATGTATACATTTTGATGAGTTTGAACATATGAATACACCTTTGATACCATCACCACAGTCAAGGTAATAAACATATCCATCACCTCTAAAAGATTCCTTGTCTTCTAGCTTGTGTGTGGATGGTAAGAATAGTTAGTACAAACTTTTCCCTCTTGACAATTCCCCTTCTTGTCGTATTTATACACTAGTATTTCTGCTTTTGCAAATACACAACTATGTCTTTTCTAGATCACAAAAGAAACGGAGTAAATAAGTATCTGAAATACTTCCATAAGCATATTTGAAAGTCTCAATAGCATTAAATGTTTATGCATCACTTTCACAAATGAGTTCTCAGACTTGTAATATGCAGTGGTTTTCCATTCATAATAACTGCAAGAATTCAACAAATTAGGATGGATTCTCTCAAGAAATTTTTATCATGTTGTAATAGCATATAGACACTGTGGTCATTACAGATCCAAATATGAAGAAATCCCAGAGAAGATAAATAAACCACAAATAGACATGAAATAATCTTACCAGTATGGCTCTTTGATTGTGTCTTCATTTCCTCAAATGCTATAACTCTACCACTCACACCAACAATGTCTTCCCTATCCGGGTCTATATAAAAATAAAGCAAAAACATTTTCAAAACACCTTTTTAAGGTAAATATTAGATTTCCTAAAATTTACTAAAATCTGCTTCCCTTGGTGTGTCGCTACTCTAATGCTGCTTCTGTAAGGGCCTAACTTGAGCATGCACACAGCGTCCTCTGAGATCAGTGTTTCTAACATGGCCCTGTCTGAATATTGCTTTCTTCTTTCCTGTTGTAACCTATATTTTTTTGATATCAGCACAAAGATCAAAGCAATATGTTTTGAACATTCGCCAGTCCTATTCTATTGTATAACCTCCAAACCACAAAGCATAACTGAAGGGGGGATTAGTAACTAAGGAAATAACTACCTGCTGAATTCCTCCTCTTACCATCTTCATAAACTAGCATTTCTGCTTTGGCAAATACAGCACTGAATATTTTCTAGCCCAAAAGGAAAGTGAGTAGAGTGGCATGTGAAGTATTTCCATCAAGCATATCCCAACATATCTGGAACACTGGGTGTGTATGAATTATTTTCTTGGATGAGTTTTCAAACTTAGAAAATATGTCTGTTTTTCCACTGATAATATCTGTAAGAGTTCAACCAATTATAGGAGGGAATTTTGCACTTGATCTTAGCCAAAAGGCCGAGAAGCGATATATAGGAGGGAATTTTGAAGGCTTTTCCAAACACATTCTAGTAGTCTATAAGCACTGCAATCATGAAAGATCCAAACATAAAGAAACCACAAAGTAGATAAATAAGCCAATAGTAATTATGAAATATTCCTGTTCTTACCATGACGACTCTTCGATTGTATCCTGATTTCCTCCTGTGTGGCACCTGTTTCAATAATACCTGGGAGGTATTCTGTATTAGCCTCTAGAAAAAAAATTCAGAACACTAATGTAAGGTAAATATTGACATTTATGTTTGCACATGCACACATGGTTGTGTGTGCACTATTATTTCTCCTCTATAATAGAATTATAATAAAAGTTGTGGTTTGCAGAAACATGCTGCCATAACCCAAAAGTGCCATTAGCAATCAGAAAAAGTTTGTTATATTGTGACCAGAGAAATTTAGTGATCTGGCTAATGTGATATATCCAGGCATTGTCAAAATCAATTCATAAAACGATTCTTCGTACCTTAACTAGGGCCACTAGAAAATATGAAGTGTTCTCGAGAGTGATACCATGTGAGGTAATTTGGGGCCATCAGTTTTTCCCTTTCTCTTTTAAGGAATTTCTCCTTATTTTCGTTTCCTCAACATTATTATTATGATGGGCCTGGTTATAGGTTTTATTTTTGTGTTCTACTTATATTTCCTTATCTTGGTAGTAGAGACTTAGAAACTTCACTACGTGTTTTCAAAATATCCATCCCTCTTTCTTCATATAGTTTTATTGTTCTCTTCATCTCTCTGCTCTCGTTCTAGTATTTCCATTACCTTAAGTTGCCAGGTGTTACTTCAGACTCAGCAAGCATTCTCTTGAACCCCCCTCCCCAGTGAATTTTTAATTTCACTTCTTTACCCCTCAACTCTAGAATTTGCATTGTGATCTTTAATATTATTAACTATGTTAATATTTTTGTGACTATAGGATATTTTTGTAACTATGTTACAGAAAACTGTTAATACTGTAACTATGTTAATTTTTCAGTTACATTTTGTAACTATGTTAATATTGTCTATTGTACCCTTCATAACTTTCAATTCCTTGAGCATGGTGTCCTTTTGTTCTTTGAAAATATTTATAATAATGACTTTGTTACATTGTTCACCCAGACATCAGAATCCCTGTATTTGTTTTTAAGCTCAGTCACAATTTACTTTTCCTGTCTTTACTTTTCTTTTCTTTTTGTCTTTTTGCAAGTAACTGGATGGTTTAAATAATGCATTATAGCAACTCTGTATACTAATTTCTGTTTCCCCTTTCAGAAGATTATTGAAATTATACTTTTTTGTTTTGTATTTATTGATTGTTTTATTTATTTAGTCATACACCCATTCACTAGTCAGTTTTTTTACATAATTATTTTTATGTAATTTTTTATGTAATTTTTTTATTTTTTGCATAATTATTTTTAGTGAGTTACTACTTAAATGTTACTAAAATCTGCTTTTTGATGAATGAAACTTCTCATGTTGATCCTAACAGGACATATCCTTAGCCTTGCACATAGTTGCCCTTGGATAGCCAGTAGCTCTAATAGGACTCAGTTTAAATGTCTCTTTCCTCAGTTAAGCTGTGCTCTTCTTTTGTTATTATAGCAAAGATAGAAAAGAGGACTGTCTGACATTTAGCCCAGTCCTATACTGTTGCATGATCACTAAACTAATGTATAATTAAGAATTAATGATATTACATGTTTGCTTACCATTTTCATCAGAAAGAAATGATAAACACAGAAATAATCATTATATTCCTTTTCTTATCACACTGCAACTAGCATTACTGAATACAAAGTATAAGAAATACTCTCTATCCAGGTTAGAAACAGAATGTGAATAGAATGCAATTGGCTATTTGTGTACCAATCATATTCTAAGTTTACTATAAGATTGGTGTTTGTGCATCAATATTTAGATGGATGCTTGATAAAATTCAAAATAGATATACTTTTGCATTCATACTTAGTACAAGCATTCAACTATTTAAAGTGACTTTGTACGACCTTTTGCCCAAATCATAGTAAATTAAAGACACAGTTGTTATAAAACATCCATACTTAAACCCCTTAAAGAGAAATAAATGTGCTATATTAGACTTGTAATATCATCGTTTTACCTGCAATCTTCAGTGGTAGGGTCTTGGGTTGACCCTTTTCATCTGTTCTTCTAGTTGCACCTGTTAAGTGTTCTACACTAATTCCTACAAAGACATTTCAAATACACTTTAAAAAATTTATAGTTTATTTATTTATATACATCTTTGTTAACTTTTCGATAGTGTCTGAGTCCTCCCCTCAAGTGTAGTCCCTGTAGTTCTCCAAACTATTGTCTGCATAATCCATCACCAAATATTCCCTTGTATTTTTCTCTCCCCTGTTTTGACTCCTCTCCCTTTCCCTTCCCTGTTATATGCCTCAGCTAATACGATTATGGTCAGCTAATAAGGTATGTCATTTTTTACTGACATTTTGTTCTGTCAAATATAATTTGTCTGGAAATTGTTGCCATAAGAACATTTGTGTATGTGTATGTGTTTTTGCATGTATGTATATAGGTTTAACTTAACTGCATGTTATAATTAAGATTATTTTTAATGAAATATTTGTATGGAAGGATAACAAAAACTTAAAATGGGAACAGAATGGTAACATAAGCCATATTATCTTAACAGGTAGAGATGTTTAGTTTTATGGCTAAAAACTAATATCCACTTACCTTCCTATATGCCAACAATGAGCTACAAGAAGAAGAAATTAAGAGAGCCATTCCATTTACAGTTTCACCAAGAAACATTAAATATCTTGGGATAAGAAAAGGGAGCTTAGTGGGGAAGAGCACAATGGACTATGGGTACTTTGGTGATGGGAGAGCTTCGAAGGCCACACCTAAGGGGAGAAATCCTAAACTGCCAAAATATTAACAAGAATGTAAAACAATGGCACTTCATTAGAGATATTTTTTAAAAAGAATATTACTAAGCCTAGATAGTTTTGGATGCTTAAGTATTTTGTAGATGAGTTCTTGAGTTTATAATACATAACTGTTTTTCATTCATAATAACTGCAAGAGTCTAAGGGAGGACATTTATGAGATTTTTGTGATCATGTTTTAGTAGCACTTAGGCACTGTGATCATTAAAGATCCAAACATAAAGAATCCCAGAGAAGATAAAGCCCAAATAGACATGAAATCTTCTTCTTCTTACCAAGATGACTCTTTGACTGTATCTTGCTGTCCCTACGTATAGCACCTCTCCCAATAGGACCCATGAAGTGTTCTGTATCAGCCTCTATAAAAACATTTTCAATATATGCTTGTAAGGTAAATATTAATATTCATGTTTGTGCACGTGTGTGCTGTAGTACTTCTCCTCTAAGTAAAATGATATATTTTATAAAGGATATGATGCAAAGCAAGGAATGCAGAAACATGCCACCTTAATTTGAAAGCAGCATTAGCAATTGGACTAAGAGTGATTATGCCAAAGTAACATACGCAGGGGCCTCTGGTGGTGCAGGGGTTAAAGTCAGCACTATCAAGCTATGGCCAGCCACCACAGCTTGAGTTCAATGCCCGACCAGGGGAGTTAACCCACAAGGCACAGAAGACCTCTCCTCTCACCCACTGCTCCCCTCAGCAGTGTATTTCAGTCAACCCACCTGTTCTGCTCCACACACTGTCTCTGGGGAATCATCTCACTCCCTCCCTGCACCTTTGGCCTACACCACAGTTTTTTTATGCATAAATAAATGAAAATAATTTTTTTAAAAAAGTGCATATCCAGATGCAAAACCTGATGCGAAACCTGATCCCTCATCATTTACTAGTTCCTTTCCCGTATATGAAGACTTTTGTAAAATTGAATCACATTGGGGATTTTAACTGAATAATAAAAATTTCATTGGAACATTAAATGCACACTTATTTGTTATACATATCTCAGTGGAAAGGATACAACATTTTTTTTCCAGGCCAAGTTGCGAACTTTCTTCAACATAGTCACAAAATATAACCATGAGACAGAAGTTCTTTGATTTGCATGGGAAAATTGTTATCCACCTTTGGATTATGTAACCGTCAACCCAGGAGGCCATAGTGGTAGAAACATATAGCAGTAAGTTGATGAGTTCAGATAATGTTCCCTCCCAACATACTATTTAGCATGTAAACGTTCTAGCTGGGTCAAAGGAAATGACCATTTGTGATAACATTAGCATTTGTTTTGCATCCCTTTCTATAATAGTCTTTATGTGATTTTCACTTTTTGCTTATTTTAGAAACAATTCCCTAGGTCCACTTATAGAAAAAAGAAAAATCAGATTATTTTAAATGGATTGCATATTGCTAAGGAGTGATTAGAACTGGTGACTTTTGGTCAGCTGTTGATGAAGTTTTGTGGGCAAAATATTGGCTCTAATACAGCATGTAACCAAATTTGGAAACCTTGTATGATCTATTGATAGAAAACATAGATTGGAATTCTTGCTTTGGAGAAATGTCTGAGCCAATGAATATTTAAAGTTTGCACTACCACTTTGGCAATACAGATATACCATCACTACAATTGAAACAAAGGCACAGAAAAGATGGGGCTTCATAACCTAAACCAAAGATATATTCTATGGGCAGAACAAGTGTTCTGCAATTAATTACCAACATTTGTGTAAGTAAAATGAGCTATAGCAACAAATAACTGGGAAACATCACAGACATTCTTTAGCCCTCTGGTCTTTTTCCAACAGAGAATTCAAAAAACTGAATCATATGAACTGAGAAAGAAAAAGATCCTTAGATAAATAAGGAGACATTAAGAAAAGTTTTTTATAAGCATAGTGTCTTATTTATATGTATTTTACATCATTGTTCATTTTTAAACAATGTTTGCTTCCCCCCACTCCTCAGGTGTAGTCTCCATAGAATGTCCTTCACCAATGCATCCGTGCACCATCACCTCAGTCCCCTGTGCTCCTTCCTCCCTCCCTCTGATCCCTCTCCTTCCTCCTCCCCTGCAGGATATCTCTGGCTTATAATTGCCTGTTTGTTTTTGTTTTGTTTTGTTGTGTCGTATATTGTTATTATTTTTTTACACTGATATCTTATTTGGTTCCCCTATATTCCTCCTATAAGTGAAACCATCCAGTATTTTTCTTTTTCCTTCTGACTTATTTCACTGACCATTATTCCTTCTAGCTCCATCCATGCTGCTGTGAATGGCATGAGTTTATCTTTTTTGAATGCTAAGTAATATTCCATGGTGTATATGTACCACATCTTATTGATCCAGTCATCTATTTTTGGGCATTTGGGTTGTTTCCAGGTTTTATTTATTGTAAGCAGTGCTATAATAAACATAGGGGTACAGATATTCTTTTGAATCAATGTTTTTGTGTCCTCTGGGTAGATTCCTAGGAGTGGAATTACTTGGTCATATGGTAACTCCATTGTTAGTAGACTGAGGAACCTCCAGACAGCTTTCCACAATGTTTGGACCAGTTTGCACTCCCACCAGCAATGTAGGAGAGTTCCTTTTTCACCACATCCTCGCCAACACTTCTTGTTGCTTATTTTTTTGATATGTGCCATTCTCACTGGTATAAGGTGGTCTCTCATTGTGGTTTAACTGTTTTAAACATTAAAAGCATGAAAGGACTGTGGGGAGTAATTTATAATCAAGAAAGTGTGGAACTTTTCATTCCCATTACTTACTATACCAATCATTTTCAAAATTATCCTGCTTAATATTTTTGCAGCTATTAAAACAACATATACTTTATAAATTTTTTATATCTAATTAATGATGGTTAGTAATATACTCATAGAACTGTGTATAATCATTGCAATCAATTTTAGAATCTTTTTCAGATTTACTTTGATTCAATTCCAGTGATATATAGAAATGTCAAACCTGGAGTTTTATTCACTCTTCCCCATTTTTGTGCTGCTGTGTTACGTGCTACATGTATAAATATCAAAAACATTGTAAAAAAATGCCACTCATTTCTTTGTGAAGCTGTATAGTTTTTTAAAAATCTGAGAAGAAAGAAGAACAAAATTAATGCTGTTTGTTGTGTTAGTCTTCTTACTCACAATCTTTGGATCATTAATTCCCATGGATTCAAGTTATCATTTTGTATTGTTTTCTTCTTCCAATTCATTCTTGCTCCCACCCTTTCCTTTGTGCAGCTCTGTGAAATGTATTATTATTCTGTATATTGATAATTTTATATCTATTGCTTCACAGAATTTCCTTTCGATAAACTGAGAGATCGAAAGAGAAATATGCATCTGTATGGGTTTTTGAAATCATAGAACTAACACTGGCTATGATTTTGGGTAGTTTTCTTTTGCTTAATTTCCATTTCATTTTTTATTCTTTTACGGATTAAATTACTCCATGAGATCACCTGCCTTCAGCCAGAACTCTCCTTAGTGTTTCTTGTAATGTGGCTCTACTGGCAATGATTTCTCCCAATTTTTATTTGTTCAGAAATCTATTTATATTGTCTTTATTTTTTTGTAGAATAGCTTGCCTGATATAAGATTTCTGCTTGACAATTTTTCTCCCAGGGCGGTGAATATGTCAACCCACTGCCTCCACACTGTCTGTTCATCGTAGCAGGGAGCACTTTTTCATGACCAGTGGTTTTTTTCTTCTTGGTATTTTCAAAATTATCTCCTTGCCTTTGTTTTCTCAACATATTTTTCAATGATGGGTCTGATAGTGGATTGTTTTTGTACTTCTATTTAGACTTCCTTTTGCTTGAGAGCATAGTCAAGTTGATTTTACTGAAGAGTTTTCAAATTATTCATCCATCTTTCTTTAACTGTTTCTATTGTTCTGTTCGCTTTGCTTTCCTAGTGTTCCCATTACTTTATGTTTGCTGAGTATTTCTTCAGATCTTACATCTTCTCTTGAAAACTTCCAGGGAATTTTTTGTTTTAATTTTGACTTCAAAATCTAAATATTTTTCTTTATATTAGTATTTTTATCTGTTAGTTTTATCTAATGTATCTATTGTATAATTTTTCTTTAAGTATGAGATACTTTGTTCTTTGAACATTGTTATAATAATTACTTAGTAAGCATTGTCTGCCTATACCCATATCAGGGTGTCACAAGCAGTTTCTGTTGCCTAATTTTTCCTGAATATCACTTACTATTTACTTTTTTTAAATTTTTTTGCCACTTTGCTAAATAACTGGATATTCTAGATAATGTATTAAATTACTCTGCATTTTGATTTCGCTTCCTGGGGTTGTTGATTAGCGTCCTCTTTTGCTTTGACATTTCCTGTTGACTTTCTATTTATTTTCTTACTTATTTAGGTGCTGAGTAGTAGATCCATCACATACCACATTGTAGACACTTGGAGTATTTTACTAAAAATCTCTTCTCCAGATGAGCGAAGCTTTTTTTTTTTTTTTAAGATTTATTTAGTTATGCATACAAGAGTTGGGGTACAGGCAAGAGGTGTGGGAGTGAGAGGATTCACCAGAGACAGAGTGGGGAGCAGAATAGGCAGGTCAACTGAAATACACTGCTGAGGGGGGCAACAGGCGAGACAGGAGAGGTCTGCTGCGCCATGTGGATTAGCTCTCTGGCCAGCCAGGGATCGAACCTATGCTGCAGAGAATGCAGACAGCTTCACAGTGCTGTGCTTAACCCCTTGTACCACCAGGGAGGCCCACGGAGCTTCTCATATTGTTTCTGTGAGAGCGTATCCTTGGCCATGTATACAGCTGAACTTAGATATAAGTGGCTCTAATAGGGAACTGTTTTTATATCTCTATCCTCTTTCCTCTATTTAGTTGTGTTCTTTCCGAATCACCGCAAAGATCAAAAACAGGTATATAGAACATTTACCACAGGTGTATTCTGTTGAACAATATCTGAACAACAAAGCATAACTAAAGAATTCTACTAGTTGTAAGTGAGATATTAAAAACACCTGACATTTTCATCATGGAAAGAGAAATGATAAACAGGGGACTAGCCATGATATTTCATTTCTTATCTCATCTACCAGCTAGCATTTCTGCTTTTGCAACTCTGAAAAATAAAATTTTATGTAGTCAAGAAAATGAAAGTTAGTAGAATATAATTAGTTATTAGTCATACTCTCAGTTTACCATAGCATTGGTTTTAATGATCACATTTTAATGAATGAGCATTAAAACTTAAACTATGTAGCTACTTTTGCTACATTACAGCAGTAACAGCTAATTAAAGAGGGATATCATATAGTATAGTATAGATATTTTTACCCATATAGATATGGGTATAGATATAGGATTTAGTATAGATATTTTTGCTATAAAATATCCCTACTTAATTAAGCTCCTTAGAAGTTAAATAAGCTTGATATATTTGATTAGTAATATCATTATTTTACCTGGGATCTTAGTTGGTTTTGTCTTCAGTTGTCCCTTTGTATCTGTTCTTCTAATTGCATCTGTCAAGTGTTCTACATTGCTCCCTATAGACATAGAGAGATTTCAAAAACACTTTGTATGGAAACTATTACCATTTGAGTGTATGTTTGTGAGTGCATGTTTGTCTTTAGGATTAAATTAAATAGCATTTGTTCTTATAGAAGAATGTTTATAATGATATATTTATATTGCATAATCATAGAACCTTCAGATGGGAACAGATGGAGGATTTATATAAATATATTGAGGAGTGTAGACGTTTATAGTATAAAAACTTATAGGGAATGACAAATTTTATATACAACCACATGCTGAATAATAATCAGTGCTATCCAGTGCTCTCTTATGTGATTCAAATTACCCCAGAAAAATATAATACAAAAAAAATAACTTCCAGGCTTACATTAAAATGAAAACATATTTGTTGATAAATTGAATCTGCAAAACCAAACTTGATGAATTCTTAGCAGAATAAGTACAAAGATATTCACAAGACAGACCCATCACAGTGAAGGGAGTGGATCCTAAATTTGACTTCTAACTTAAAATTTCCGTTTCTCTGCCTTTGTTCCTGTGGATTCCAGCTAGCATGTTATCATTTTCTTACTCAAACACGTAACTCCCACACATCACCTGTGTGCTGTTACTGTGGAATACATGACTTTTCCAATTTCACTGACCCAACAATATCAGCATGGATATTGTTAAAAATAATTACTACTTAAATCAATAACGTGAGGGGACAAAACATGCTTTCATATTGCTGATTGGACATTAGCCATGTCCTTAGATTGAGGATTCAAATAACAGTCTGTGGTTATTTGCTTCAATTTGAAGAACTAAGTTAATGTATTTCTGGTGAGTCAAGTCTGTTAGCAAAGAGCTGCCATAATTTTTATTTATTTGAGCATCCCTTTCTCTCACTTTCATTTTGAAAATAGTTTTTCTAGCTATATTATTCTTGGTGTGCCAGTTTTTTTCTTTCAGCGTCTTGAATCTGCCATCTCTGTGACTTCTGAACACAACAGCTTCCCATTTTAAGTCAGGTGTTCAGTTTACCTTACTGCTTTTAATTTACATGATGACTTCTGTCCCTCGTTCAACATTTCCTCTGTCCTTGCCCTCATCACATTCACTATGATAGGTCTTGTTGTAGATATCATGGTACTTACTATGTAAAGATTTTGGTAAGTTCGGCTTGGGCATGTTCATATTTTTCAGCAAGTATGTTTCAATATTTTTAGCAACTGTTTCCTCAAAGAATTTTTTTCTGCCCTTTTAATTGTCTGTTCCACTTAAATTTTCCCCATTACTTTTAGGTATAGAGACACTTTTTCTGATCTTTCAAAGGGACTCTTGACACCCAAAAAGTTATTTACTTCTGCATTACCCATATACTTCTTGTATTTTCAACTGCGGATTTTTCATTATGAGGGAGAGAAAAATTCTCTATGTATTTTTGACATTTCCTATTTGATGTGATATTGACATTAATCTTCCTTTCCTGTTTAACCACAATTTTCTTCAACATTTGAACATAACTCTTTTTATAGGGTCCTACAAATGTAATCATTAGAATACTTTGTTCTTTTTTGAATCCTGTGGATGCCTACAAATTTACTATTTCTATGCATGTGTCAAGATTCTTCCTTTTGGTGACTGGGAAGGTGTGAGGGAAAAACCCTTTAGAGAAAATATTTCAGCACATATGGATACCAAGTTTCCCTCATCTTTGTAAGCTTGTTGTTGTTTACCTGATTATTTATTTGGTGACTAGGCTGTACTATTTCCTATTTATGAATTCTCCATCTCTACAACATGTAACATCCAATGTTACTAAGGGCGTAGACTTATAGGAAGCAATTTATGAAGAATCTTCTAATCATGTTCTAATAGCCTATAGGTATTGGGGTTTTTAACAACTTAGAAAAACCCAAGAGAAGTTAGAAAGAATGATTGAACAGAAAAGGAAGAGTCTTGTTCTTACCAGGATGAATTCTTGATTGTGACTTGGTTTCCTCTTTTTTTGAATCTTTTCCAATAATATCTGTGAAGGTTTCTTTATCAGCTTTTTTTATTACACCTCTTCCAGTATCATCTGTGATGCTTTTTGTGTGAGCCTTCTTTATTGCACCTCTTCCAGTATCATCTGTGAAGCTTTTTGTATCTGTCTCTATTAAAACAAAGAGTTTCAAAACACTCTTGTAAGGTAAATATTAACATATGTGTATTAGCACATGTGTGTGATATTGTTCCTCCTCTTATTAGAATGTGTATTAATTATGGGAGAATTATAATAAAAGACATGGATTGCAGAAATATAGTATCTTCATTTGTAAATTACTTTAGCAATCAGAACAAGGCCATTATATTGAGGATTTGAACAGTTTAGTGATTTGACCAAAGTGACATATCTGATAGTGCCAAATCAATACACAATCTGATTCCTCATAATTCCTTTCCCATAAAATCTGAGGCTTTTAGAAAGTTATCTCATAGTGGGGATTTGATCACAATAATAAAATTTTTTAAAAAGATTTCTTTATTTATACAAGAACTGGGGTACAGGCCAGAGGCATGGATGGTGGGAGAATTCACCTGAGACAGAGCAGGGAGCAGAACAGGCAGACTGACAGAAAACACTGCTGAGGGGAGTAGCAAGCAAGACAGGAGAGGTCTGCCGTGCCATGTGGGTATCTCCCTAGCCATCTGGGAATCGAACCCGCACTGCAGAGGCTGCAAACAGCCTCACAGCGCTGTGCTCAACCTGCTGCGCCACCGGGGAGACCCTGATCACAATAATAAAAATTTTATGTGTTCAACAAAAGTGCATGAGGTACAGATGTACCATGTGAGACAGAAATACAACTTTTTGTTCCAGACCATATTGCAAACTATGGTTTTCCTAGTCACAGCATATTATTCTGAGGCAAAAATACCATGATATATTCAGGAAAATTGTTAAATACCCCTTATAGGATATGTATCCATAAACCAAGGAGGCATTAGTGGTGGAAAAGGATAATAAGTAATTCAGGGCTGAGACAATTTTCCTTCTTTTTTTTTAAATTTTAATTTTTTTTAATTTTTTATTTAAATTTTATTTTTATATTCCCCATACAATTACAACCCCCTTATTTTTACCCCAAGCCCTCCTTTCCCCGTCCCCCACCCCCCATAGAGTGTCTCTTGTTCATAGTTATTTGTTGATTTTGATATTTTCTTTCTTATAGTTCTTTTTCCTGGTCCCTTATTTAAGTTTTCTAGATTCCTGCTATGAGTGAGACCATCCGGTATTTTTCTTTTTTCTTTCTGGCTTATTTTGCTAAGCATGATGCCTTCCAGCACCATCCATGTTGCTGCAAATGGCATGTGTTTGAGACAATTTTCCTTCTCTGGGCCAGTTTGCAATAGACCTTCTAGCTGTTTCAGAGGTTGTGTGTCATTCATAAAAGTGTGAGAACTGGTCTTTCATTCCTTTCTATCTGAGTCTTTATATGATTTTCAATTCTTAGAAGATTTTAGAAACTATTCTCTATGACAATTTGACAGAGAAAACAGAACAAAATTCATTGGAAAGTAGTATATCACAAAAGGAATGATCAGACTCATTGCCCCCTTTTTTCATATGCCTATTGGCCATTTGCATGTCCTCTTTGGAGAAGTTTCTTTTTAGATCTTCTGCCCATTTTTTTTACTGGATTATTTACTTTGTTTTTGTTGAGTCTCATCAGCTCTTTGTAGATTTTTGTGCTCAGTCCTTTATTAGTCGTGTTGTGTGCAAAAATTTTCTCCCAGTCAGAGGGGTGTCTCTTCGTTTTAGTTACTGCCTCTTTTGCTGTACAGAAGCTCTTTAATTTGATGTAGTCCCAGCTGTTTTTCTTTGCCTTCACTATCACTGCTTTGCGTGATGTGTCTTTAAAGATGTTACTGAGGTGTATGTCATGTAGTGTTTCACCTATATTTCCTTCTATATATGTTTTTGGGTCTTATGTCTAGTTCTTTAATCCATTTTGAGTTGGTTTTTGTGCATGAGACAGTCTGATGTGACCAGATGTGACGTTTTGTGGGTCAAATATTGGTTCTAGTAGATCATGAACTGACACTCAAAACATCCATGATGTAGTTATCATAGATAAGATTTCTTGCTTTGGAAAAATGACAGTCCATGAATGTTTAAAGCTTGCTGTATACCACTTCAACACATATATAAAACCAATGCATTCCAAGCAGAGGCAAAGACCAGTTAGGGTATCAATACCTAAACTAGAGAAAGAATGGATGGTTAGAACAAGTGCTCTGTAATTAATTACCAGTATTTGTGAACAAATGTAAACTATAGGAACACATTACTGGGAATGATATGTATTGCTGGCAATACATATGCCTGCTAATGTTCCCAGTAATGTGTTCCTGTAGTTTACATTCCTTCACAAATGCTGGTAATTATGTAGTAAGCCCACAAATGCTGGGCTTAGTATGCCCTCTGGTCTTTATTCAACAGATTCATTCAAAGAACTAACTGATTTGATTTGAAAAGCAAAGGATAGTTAGATAAGAATGAGAACATTAAGAATATTGCTTATGGGTAGATTGAATCAAACAATAAAACCATAAAATGCTTAAAGGGGTATAAATTTATAATCTAATAAGAGTGTCTTTTTCATCTTACACAATATCCTCCATTGCTTATCTTCTTCAAAATTACTATGCTGCTATACTTCTCTCAGTTATTAAAGCAAACATTTCTACAACTTACCCCTTATTATTGTCTAATCAATGAATATCATTAGAATATTCATAGAAAGAATATAATCACCACAATGATTATATAATCAACTTCAGATTTATATTGATTAAATTCCAATGATATAGAAAAGTCACACTATATAGTTCTAGCTGCTCTGCCTCATTTTTGTGCTACTGTTTTATATGTCACATACAAAAATACAAAAAAAAATTGTAAAAATTGTTATAGTTGTTTATGAAATGTTATACCCTCTAAGGATACTAAGAAGTAATCAGAGCAAGTAAATTTTAATAGTATTTTGTTAAATTAACCTTTTTATTCATGATCTTTTGATCTTTTCATGATTCCTGTGGACTTAAATGTCCATCTCATGTTATTTTCTTCATACGTGTCCCTGCCTTCTCCTTTGTGAAGCTCTTGTATAATATATTATCAGTCATCATTTGTAAGATGCCAAAACACAATTTTATAACAACTACTTTATAAAATTGATTTTTCAGTCAATAAGAAAACTATATAGTATATAGGGCTTTTGTAATTATGGAATTAATGTTGAACATGATTTTTGATTGCCTTGTTTTGCTTACTTTTTGCTATTATTTTATTGATTAAACTGCTCTCTGATATCACTTACTTTTAGCCAGATGAGCTACCATTTGTGTTTCTTGTAAAGTGGGTCTGCTAACAATGAATTCCCTCATTTTTTTTAATTTGCTTGGGAATCTCCTTATTTCATCCTCAGATTTGTGGGATAGTTTGCCTGATATAAGATTTTGGTTGACAGATTTTTTTTCTTTGGGATATGAAACATGCCAACCCACTGACTTTTGGCTATCATAGAAGTTAGTTCTTCATCTTAGCAGGGTACATTTTTACATAAATGGTTTTCTCTTGAAGTTATTTTCTTTTTTCTTTCTTACTCAAGATTTTTGGTATTATGAGTCTGGTTGTGGATTTTATTTATTGATTCATTTAATTTAGATTTCCTAGAGCTTGGTAGTAGAGATAAATAGATTTCCATGACATTTTAAAAATGTTTCATCAAATATTTGTACTCTTCTCTTCATTTTTATGCTCTCCTAGTACTCCCATTACCTTAATTGTCTAAGTATTTCTTCTGATCAATCAAGTTTTCTATAAGCATCTTCAGTGAATTTTTCATTTCATTTAGCTACCTTTCAACTTTAGAATTTGCATTTTGTTGTTATTTTTTATATCTATGCTGACATAGTCTATTTAGTGACATATTTTTATCATAACATATTTTCTTTGAGGATTGTCTCCGTTAGTTATTTGAGCATATTTATACATTTACTTTGTAAATATTGTCTACCTACTCCAACATCAGGGTCTCACAAGTGATTTTCTACTGCCTGTCATTTCCTGAATTTGATCAAAATTTGCTATTTCCTTGTGTGTTATAATTTTTGTCCATTTTGCTAGTATGTATATCTTTTAATATTATATTGAATCAACACTATTTGATTTCTATTAAACAACTGGGGACTGTTGATTAGTGTACTTTTTTGCTATAAAATTTAGTGTTGATCATCTTATTCATTCATTTGTGTATATGTTTACTTATTTATCCATTTATTATTTAGTACTTAGGCAATAAGATGGTTCAGTACATAGTTATTTTTGGAATTTACTAGGAGCATTTTACTAAATCTCTTTCCCCAGATATTGATGCCTTTCGTATTGTACCTGTGAGGCCATATCCTCCTGCATGCACAAAGGTGATCTTTGCTATAAATGGTTCTAATGGGACAGTGTTTAAATGTCTCTTTCCCATTTCCTCTTTTAAGTTATGTTCTTTCAGTGTCACAACAAACATCAAAGGCAGGTGGGTGTAACATTTAACATGGTCCTGTTCTATTGTATAATTTCTAAACCACAAAGTATACCTAAAGAACTGTACTAATGACAGTTGATATAAGTTTGCCTGATATTTTCATCATGGAGAGATAAATAAAAGAATAGCTCTCATATTCCTTTACTTAAAACATCTACAGCTTACATTTCTGTATTTTCAAATTTGAAAAATTATCTAGCCTAGAAATAGAAATTTAGACTATAATTATTTATTTTTGCAATAAACATATTCTAAGTGGACTATAGAATTAGTTTTTAGTTTACATTTTAGAAGAATGAGTTCTAGAATATAAAATATCTAGCTACTTTTACATTAATATTTAATGCAAACAAACAAGTAATTAAAGGGGGTCTTCATGAAACATTTTACCCACAAAACAGTAAAGTATAGAAATGCTGTTACTACACATATATAATTATATTCATGAGATAATATATGTAAAATATTATGCTTATAAAATCCTTATTCTTACCTGGGAGGGTTGGTGGTTGTGCACTGAGTTGCCAATTTGTATCTGTTCTTCCAGCTTGACTTGTAAAGTGCTCTTCATTACCAGCTACAGATAAAGATATTTCAAAAACTCTTTGTATGGAAACTGTTACCATGTGAATATGTGTGTGTACTTGTATGTTTTTGTGTAGGATTAACTTAATTAGCTTTTCTTCATGATGGACCAACATTTATAATGAAATGAGTGTACTGAAAATCATAGATAGGAACATGTAGAGGATTTCCATAAGCCATGTTATATTGAGGTATGGAGATGTTTAGTTTTGGGGCCAGAAACTAATGCTAGGGAATGCAGATTTTATATAGAACCACATGCCACATAATTCCTTAACCAGTGCTACCCTATCCAGTGCTATATCTCAAGCAATTTGATTTTATTCCAAAGAAATTCTAATACAAATAAAATTTCCAGGTTTACATTAAAGTATACTCTTTCAGTGGGGATATTCCTGATGAAATAAAGCATAGTATTTCCCCCCCACAGGTCAGCCTTCAAGCCATAGTTTTCTTGGTCACAGAAACATACTCCTCTTTCAAAAAGCATGATTTAAATAAATTCATTAACAGCAATTTGTGGGCCTCACCAGTGGTGCAGCGGTAGAGCGTTGGATTGCCAAGCTGCCTGCAGCCTCTATAGCGCCAGTTCCATCCCCGGCTGCTCCCCAGCCAACAGAGGAGGGTCCCACATGGCGTGCAGACCTCTCCTGCCGCCCGCTGCTCCCCTCAGCAGTGTACTTTGGTCTTTCTGCCTGCTCTGCTCCCCGCTCTGGCTCTGAATTCTCTCACCCTCCCATGCTTCTGACTATACCCAGTGCTTGTATAAATAAATAAATAAATCTTTAATAAATAAATAAATCTTAAAAAAAAAAACCCAGCAATTTGTGGTAACAGCAACACAAAACCAGGGCACATAAGCAGGTATATCTTAGCCTCTCTGGTCTTTCTTCAAATAATATAAGAACAGAGTCATCTGAATGAAGAAATCAAAGGATCCTTATATAAGCAGGGAAGCAATCATATGGCATTTAAGGTAAGATTAAGTTAAGGACCAGTAATCAAAAGATATGCTGACATAGCTTACAATTATGTGAGGGTCAAAATTTTCCAACACAAAATCCTCTCATTGCTTTAAACTTTTCCAAGAATCTCTTATTAGTGTATTTCACTGAGCTCTTTTTTTATAAAATATACAGCATGAAAATTTAAAAATTTTCTTTAGAATTTATATCAAGATGTGTGATCTCAAAATAGTGAATATGAGAATCCACTTCAGATTTTCACTACAGTGAGATATAGAACTATTACTCTTATAACTCTACTACTTCTGTTCTGTTCTCCAAGGCACTATATCATGCCTATTATTGCTTTAAATATGAAGATATCTGTCAGTATTTCTTTGTAAAACTTGATGATCTTTAAAGAAGACAGAGAAATGAAGAGCAAGTACATATTTACATTGCCTATTATTTTAACCTTCTGGCATAATTTCTGGTTTTCTGCATTTGTCCCTGTGGAGTCCATTTAACACACTGTCATTGTTTTCTTTTTTTAAGGATTAGAGAAGGCTGTGCTTTATTGACTACACAGGCTACTTGAGGGGGAAGAATAGGGAGGAGTGTGTGGCCCCAGTGCCTGCATGGCTGTGTCTGACAAGCTTGTAGGTGATGGAGAACTTGCCCAGGTAGTGGCTCATCGTCTTAGGCTTGATCTCCACCCAACTGACTGCCTTGCCATTGTAGATGCCCCCATGCTGCCCACCATCTCAGGCAGGATGATCATGTCCCACAGGTGCCACTTCACCTCCTCTGGGGTGGCACCTCCTCCTTGGCCTTAGGCAAGTGCTTCAGCTGAGAATGCTGCTTCTGCCACAAGCCTGGGTTCCGGCGGCAGCTGGTCGAGATGCACGCCGCCACAGTGGGTAAGCTTGAGGCAGGTTCACGTCTTCTGTTCCACTTCTGCCATCTCGTTGGTTCTACAGAAGGGCGCTAATTTCTTACTCAAATACGTGACTGCTTCCACACTGCACCTGTGTGCTGCTACTCTGGTGTATATGACCTTTCCAGATTTTATAGGACCAACAAATTGCTGTTGTATTGTTTGAAGCAATTACATTTTAAATCAATTCAGGCAAGAAAGGAGATAAGATGTGCTTCAGTACTGTCTTTTGGATTCATAGAAATCTTTACCCATGCTTTTGGAGGAAAGTTTCAAAGGACTTTGAAACTTTGCAGTCAATTGCTTTCAGCCTGAGGAATATCTATTTCCAGTAAGGTGAATCTGCTAGTAAACAGTGCTCTTAAATTTTATTTATATGGGAATCCTTTTATCTCATCTTTATTTTTGAAATTTAGTTTAGCTGGATATATTATTATTCTTGGTAAGCCAGTTTTTTTTCTACTAGCTTTTTGAGCCTGCCATATCACTTTATCTGGTGTCCATAGTTTCCAGTACTAAGTCAGTTGCTCAGCTTACCTGGTGTAGAGGCAGGACAGGCCATGGAGCAGGTTTTCCATGATCCCATGCAGAGCAGGTAAAGGAGGAGTGAGAGAGTGAGTCCTGGAGACCTCAGTGGCTTTTGCAGGCTTTTATTTGGATTACCAGGCACACGGCAGGTAGGGGCACTGTGGGGCCAGGAGGCTGGCAGGCCTCCCAGCCCCCAGCAAGTCCTCACTATCTGGGCTCTCTAGCATTCTCTGGTGGCCTTGTTTTCATGGTGCTTCTGCTTCTGCTTCTGCTTCTCTGCTCCTTTCTCGGCTTCTGCTGGCGTCCCTGTGACACTGCCCTTAAAAGCCCTGTCTTAGCCCAAGGGAATCCCATCTACATATGCCCACACCCTACTCCAGGTGCCCACCATCCGGCATGTACTCAGGACAGCAGGGTTCCTTCATCTATCCTAATGGTGGGAGGGCAGAAAAGCCTGATACTTTTTACCTTACCCTACACCTGGGTACTATGTTACATGATGTGCTGTTTTCCCATTCAGATGTTCAAAATTTTCTTTGTTTTCATTACATTTATATTGATGGGGCTGGCTGTAGATATCCTGGTGCCCAATCAGATATCATCGATTTGGGGTTGCAAAGATTCATATTTATCAACAAATATTGTTTGATTTTTCAGTCACTATTTCCACAAAGAGTTCTTTCTACCCCTTTCTCGCTCTACTCTACTTAAATTATTCCTATTAAAGTGTGAAGACTCCTTTAAGACCTTTCAATCTGGGCCTCCCCGGTGGCGCAGCGGTTGAGTGCTGGGTTGCGAAGCTGCCCGCAGCCTCTGCGGCGCCGGTTCGATCCCCGGCTGCTCCCCGGCCACCAGAGGAGGGTCCCACATGGCGCGCAGACCTCTCCTGCCGCCCGCTGCTCCCCTCAGCAGTGTACTTCGGTCCTTCTGCCTGCTCTGCTCCCCGCTCTGGCTCTAGTGAATTCTCTCACCCTCCTGTGCTTCTGACTGTACCCAGTGCATGTATAAACGAAACAAACAAACAAATAAATAAATAAAACATGCCTCTATTAAAAAAAAAAAAAAAAAAGACCTTTCAATCTACACCTGATATCCTTACGATTGGATTGTTCCCCTCTGTGCTATCCTTACATTTCTTGTACTTTTAACTGCAGATTTTTTCATACTGTGAGTCAGAAAGAAAAAAAAAAATCTATGTATTTTTTTGAGATTTCCAGCCTGCTGAAATGTTGCTGTTAATCTTTCTTTCCTGTTAAGTCCAGCTTTCTTCAAGTCTTTAAACACACACACACACACGCACGTTTTCTGGAACCTACATGTGGGTTGCTTATAAGAACACTGTTTTCTGCTTTTTTTCTTCGTGTGGTTCTGAATTTACTGCTTTTGCTTTTGTTTTTTATTTTGCATGTTTGACAGGTGTGTTCTTTTAGAGGTTGCGATGGTGTATATAAATTGCCTATAGACAAAATAAGTCAGTCCCCCTGGATACTGAGGTGCCCTGTCAGTATCCAGAGGGCACTCAGTATCCAGGTTTGTTGTGGTTGGTTTGCTGATTATTAATTTAGTAATTAAGCTATTGTAGGGTCAAGAAGACCACAGGGCAGGTTTTCTTTGATCCCATGCAGACTGGGTAAAGGAGGAGTCAGAGTCCTCAGTGGTTTTGCAGGTTTTTATTGGGGTTTACCAGGCATATGGCAGGTAGGAGTCCTGGGGGGCCGGGAGGCTGGCAGGCCTTCCAGCCCCCAGCAAATCCTCACTCTATCTGGGCTCTCTGGCGTTCTCTCTGCTTCTCTGCTCTTCTGTTCGTTCTGCTGCTTCTCGGCTTCTTGGCTTCTGCTGTCGTCCCCATGATGCCGCCCTTAAAAGCAGTCTTAGCCCAGGTGAATCCCATCTACCTATGCCCACACCCTACTCCAGGTGCCCGCCATCAGGCATGCATTCAGGACCACAAGGATCCATCATCTATCCTGATGGCAGGAGGGCAGAAAAGCCTGACATTTTCTTTACCCTACAGCTATATTATTTCTTTTTTTCTGAGTCTCCTTCTCTACAAAGCCAAGCTCTTAATTTTGTTTGTTGATGGCACAGGCTTGACACATATTAGTCACAATTGGATAACATTTTTTTAATGAAAGGGTTCTCAGCCTCTGGTTGTTTCTTTTTACCTTATTTCTCAGTTATGTTCTCTGCTTTCTTAACTGTCACAAAAGTGATGCAGAAAAAGTAAGTCAAACCCTGTTGTGCTAGACAGGGGCAGTAATGTAAATGATGAACTATGTAAGAAAAAGTGATAATCTCAAAATACAATTTTTTTAAGATTTATTTATTTATTTATACAAGCCTGGGTACAGCAGGAAGAGCAAGAGGGTGAGAGAATTCACCAGAGCCAGAGCGGGGAGCAGAACAGGCAGATGGACGAAGTACACTGCTGAGGGGAGCAGTGGGCACAGCAGGAGAGGTCTGTTGCACCATGTGGGACCCTCGCTGATGGCCAGGGATCGAACCGGCACTGCAGAGGCTGCGGGCAGCTTCGCAGCCCAGCGCTCAACTGCTGCGCTACCAGGGGAGGCCCTCAAAATATAATTTTACCTGATATTTTAACCATATAAAGGGAAATAACATGAAATAATTACCTGCTCCACTCATCATCTTATCATTCATAAGCTAACATTTCTGCTTCTGCAAATATACACCATAACTTTTCTAGTCCTTAAAAAGAATAAGCAGATCAGTACCGGAATACTTCCATTAAGCGTATTCCCAGATCTCTAGAGCATTGGATGTATCTGCATAATTTTGATGGACAAACTCTTAAACTTATAATATGTATTTGTATTTCCATTGATAATAACTTTGAAAGTACAAGTAATTTTAGGAGCCACTATGTAGGGGCAGGAATGGACCAGTGCAGGTTCTCTGATCCCATGCAGACCGGGTAAAGGAGGAGTCAAAGTCCTCAGTGGTTTTGCAGGTTTTTATTGGGGTTCAGCGGGTACATGGCAGGCAGGGGTGCAGGGGGGCTGGGAGGCTGGCAGTCCTCCCAGCCCCCAGCAAATCCTCACTTTATCTGGGCTCTCTGCTTCTGCTTCGGGCTTCTTCTCTTTCGGCTTCTACTGGCGTCCCAGTGACACCACCCTTAAAAGCACAGTCTTAGCACAGGTGTACCCACTTCAGGTGCCCGCCAGCAGGCATGCATACAGGACCACAGGGTTCCCTCATCTATCCTGATGGCGGGAGGGCAGAAAAGCCTGATTTTTTACCTTACCCTACAGTCCACTCCCTCAGGGTTTTCTGCCATATAATCCACACATACACAACTTTGTTACTTAGCAAACACAAACAATGCAGCCATGGCCCACAAAAGCAAATACATCGCAATATAACAAAATACAAGAGAACACAAATAAGTCCAGGCAGGGCCCCAACCTAGTGCAAAAGACAATTATTGGTACCAGCAGATGAGCCACCACATCTGCTGCCGAAGGCACTGCTCATACGAGGGAGGGGAACCATTCACGGCATCTACTATAACACACCAGGAGCCGTCGGGCTTCCTGGCCTTCTCTGGCTGTAGTCTCGGCTACAAGCCACACACCGCATCCACCCCCAGGATGCACTCGCTCTGGGATTGGTGATTCTATTCTGTTGGGGGTAATCGCCAACCCTCAGGGTTTCTGTCTCCAGTCACTGCAACGCTCGGCCTTCATAGCCACCAATGCGACTCGCAGACCCCTGCACTCAGGCCAACCCACTGCACAAGCACATGGGTCGGGGATCCAAACTCTACATGCGGCTTGGGCTCCACCCCAAGCCACGTTCCCCACCCGTCCCCCAAGGACGCGTTCCTCAGCTCCTCACCCTCACTCAAGAATGAGCAGGGCATCACCCACAGGTGATTTTACGAGACTCAGAGGGCTTCAGCATACTCAGGCTGCTTAACAGCCGCTCAGGGCTTCTCAACTTAGCATCAGCACCAGCTTTTGCCTTCTCAGTTGGCTTTTCTCCTCCGCCTGGCTGCTGGGCGTACACAGGCTGCTTTTGGCCATCTAGGCCCACTGGCCACCCCTAGATTCCCATCTCCTGGGGTTTACAAACGAAACTGTTCCACCCCCAGGGTCCCAAAACATATCAACCTGCAAGGTCCTCCACCTTCTGGCGGGATTGTCAGTCCAAGTTTATCAGTCCATGTCCAGCAGTCGAAGTCCGTTGGCCTCTCCCTGCATCAGCACTGGCGAGTTCTGAATTGTGGTCCTCTCTTCGCCGGTGATTCTGCTGCCTCAGGGGTCGTTGGCTGGTCCTTTCAGGTGTCATTGGCTGGTTCTCTTAGGCGTCTCCTTCGGCAAGGTCTTCTCCCGTAGATCCTGGACATTGTCCATCTCCTGGGTCGCCATGATGCCTCCGGCGTCGTCACAGGCAGTCTTTTACTCCTTAGTCCCTCCAGGTCTTCGGAGGGCACCATACCCGTCTGCACGGATCATCTTGCTGACTTACGCCAATTGTAAGGGCAGAAATGGACCAGTGCAGGTTCTCTGATCCCATGCAGACCGGGTAAAGGAGGAGTCAAAGTCCTCAGTGGTTTTGCAGGTTTTTATTGGGGTTCAGCGGGTACATGGCAGGCAGGGGTGCAGGGGGGCTGGGAGGCTGGCAGTCCTCCCAGCCCCCAGCAAATCCTCACTTTATCTGGGCTCTCTGCTTCTGCTTCGGGCTTCTTCTCTTTCGGCTTCTACTGGCGTCCCTGTGACACCGCCCTTAAAAGCACAGTCTTAGCACAGGTGTACCCACTTCAGGTGCCCGCCAGCAGGCATGCATTCAGGATCACAGGGTTCCCTCATCTATCCTGATGGCGGGAGAGCAGAAAAGCCTGATTTTTTACCTTACCCTACACACTACATTAATAATTTTTAAAACCGAGTTCTAGTAGCCTATAGAAACTGTGGTCATTAAGATCCAAACATAGATAACCCCAGAGAAGATATAAACAACAAATAGGCATGAAATCTTCTTGTTCTTACCGGGATGAATCGTTGATTGTGTCTTAATTTTCTCCTTTATTAAGCCTCTTCCAGTAGCATCTATGACACGTTCTCTATCAGAGTCTAGAAATATTTTAAAAACACTTTTGTAAGGTAAACATTAAGTATTTTAGTAGGCGTGCATTTGTGTATTGTATATTAACTCTAATTAGAATGTGTTTTAATCATAGAAGAAGTATAATGAAAGACATGGATTGCTGAAACAAAAAATACCGTAATTTATATTAATCTTCTTAATCACAGTTTTTGGATATTTTCAGTGATTTCTGAGGATTCAAGTTACCATCTCATGCCATATTTCATTCTCCAATTCATCTTTGTTACCAGCTTTCTTTTGTGTAGCCCTTGTGAAATATATTATAATATATTATAATATAACCAGTCTGTGCTTGGAGGCCCAACAATATAGTTTCACAACTATTGACTTTACAACTGACTTTTGAATAAAAAACATGGAAAATATGCACTTGCAGGGTTTTTTGTAATTATAGAATTAATGTTAACCGGGATCTTTGGCTACTTTGTGTTGTTACTTTTTATTTCAATTTTTATTCTTTTGTGAATTAAGCTCCTCTGGAGATCACTTTTTTAGCTAGAAGAACTCTTATTAGTGTTTTATTATAAACTGGGTTGCTAACAATTCTCTCAATTTTTATTTGTTTGGATATCTATTGATAAAAATCAATTTTATTTGTTTGGATTTCACCTTCATTCTTGTATGACAGATTGCCTGATTTAAGATTCTTGGTTGATAGAACTTTCTCTCCAGACACTAAATATGACAGAATTGAGTGTGAATAACATTAGGTATGAATGAGTATGAATAAACATTGAGTATAAATGATCCATACCTTCAGGCCTCTACAATGTCTGATGTTAAGTCATATGTTCATCTTAGCAGGGAGCTCTAATAGACGGACAGAGGGTTTTTTCTTGCTATTTTCAAGATTTTGTCTTTGTTGCCTCCACATTAGGACTATTACTATGTGTCTGGTAGTATATTTTATTTTGTGCTTCTTCTATTCAGACTTCTGTTTGCTTGATGTTAGGGGTGATTTTAATAACTGAGTGAATAACTGATGATTTCAAAATTTTCACTTATTTAAATATTTCACTGCCCTCTTTTTGTCCATGCTCTCCTTTTAGCAATCTCATTACCTTTAGTATACAGAGTCTTTTTTCAGACCAATAAATCCCTTTTTTGGATTGCTTCACTGAATTTTTCATTCCATTCAGTTATATTTCAGCTGTGGAATTTGCCTTTTGTCTTATGTTAGCTTTACGTCTTGTTGACATTGTCTATTTTATTTTTTATGAAAACATTCTGTCATATTATTTTTGAGAATAGTTTCCCTTAATTGCTTGAATATATTTATAATTATTTATGAACACAGTCTTCCTCCTCCAGCATCAGGAAATCACAACCAATTTTTGTTGCCTGTTTGTTATTGAGCTGGGACACAATTTACTATTTCTTTCATTTTTTTTTCTTTTGGGTAATAATTGGATATTCTAAATAATGTATTAACACTATATTATGATTCTGTTGCCCCTTTTTAGGGGCTGTTGATAAGTTTGATTTCTTTTTGAAATTTAATGTAATTTGTCCAATTTTTATTTAATTTCCTACATGTTTATTTAGTCATTCATCCATTCATTTTTCAGTTACCAGTTAGTCGGCTTAGTAAAAATTAGTTTTTGAGCTATACTGGAGTATTTCAAATTATGTTTCCCCACATGAATGAAGCTACCCACGTTGTACCTGTGATTGCATATCCTATGCAGAGTGGCCCTTTGATATCAGGAGGGCTAACAACGATGTGTTTAGATATCTCTTTCCCCTTTCCTCTGTTAAGCTGTAATATTCTTTTGGTATTACAACAAAGATCAAAAAGATGTACATCTAAATTTCACCTCATCCCTATTCTATTTTATTTCTCTTAACCTACAAAGCATAACTAAAGAACTGAACTGACAGTGAGCTATTAAAAGTGCCTGACATTTTCATCATGAAGAACAGAAAGGGTAAACAAAAAGTAGTTGTTGTATACCTTAACATATCTATTACCTAGCATTTCTGCATTTTCAAATTTGAAAAAAAAAATTTCTATATAATCTAGGAACAGAAAGTGGTAGTATATAATTGGTTATTTATGTACCAATCATATTCTATGTTTATTATAGAATTGATTTTTATGAATCACATTTTAGATGAGTGTGTGCTAGAACTTCAAATACTTAGTTAGCTATTTACATTGATACTCAATCAAGCCAACTAATTAAAGCATGCCACTATGAATTCTTTTGCCCAAAAAGAGTAAAATATACAACTTTTGTTATTAAACATCCACACTTAAATTTCTTAAAAGATAAATAAACATGAAACATTTGACTTGTAATATCATTGTTCTTACCTGTCAGACTCAGTGGTTCTGTCTTGAGTTTTTTCTTTGCATCTGTTCCTCCAATTGTGTCTGTTAAGTGTTCCATATGACTATCTATAAAGAGATTTACAAAACACTTTGTATGGAAACCATTACCATATGTATGTATATATGCAAGTGTGTTGTACATGTATGTTTGGGGATTTAATTAATTAGTATTTGTTTTATGCTTTTTTATAATATAATATCTCTAAGCAGAAGAGTAACCCATAAAATGGGAACAGATGGAGGATATATATGAGCCAAGAAATATTGAGGTATGGAGTTGTTTAATTATGGAACCAAAACCTAATATGCAGGGAATAACAAATTTCGTACATAATAGTATGCTGTATAATTCCTTAACCTGTACTTTTCTATTCAATACTATTGCTTATGCAAATCAAAGATAAGTCAGAGAAATTATGATACAAATATGTAATTTTCATCATTATACACTTATCCTGTGAGCATATACCAGGTAAATAAAATGTAATTTTTTTCTACTTGTAAATTTGCAACCATGGTTTTCTTGATCACAGAAACATATACTTCCCCAAAAAGCATGGTGTAAAGGAATTCATAAACAACATTTTGTGATAGTAACATGAGTGACAGGAACACAAAACTCGTGCACATTAGCATATTAGCCCCTTTCATCTGTCTTCAAGCAGATGTAAGTAAGGAGAGAAAAATAGTCATTTGATTCAAGAAAGCAAAGCATTCTCAAAGAAGCAGGAAGATAGTCAAATGCCATTTTATATAAATTTGGGTTAAGAACTAGGAATTAAATTATGCATGTAGAATCTTACAATTGTGTGAAAGTCATAATTTTCCTACTTCACAATACTGTTCTGTTGCTTTACAACTTTCAGAGAATCAATTTTTGTTCACTTATTCATTTTCATAAAATATATAGCAGCACATAAAACTTGCTATTGAAAACGAACAATTCAGAGTCTTTTTACAACATATATTGGGGTGTGTGAATTCAACATAATCAACTTTAGAATCCACTTCAGACTACACTATTTAAACACCAGTGAGATACAGGATTGTTACCCTCTATAGCTCTACTTCTTCTTACCACTGTGGCATTTGTATTTGGTGTTTTAAACCTACAAATATGAAGTTATTTGTTAAAATTATTTCTTTGTACAACTTGATGTCCCTTAGAGAAGCTGAGAGAAGAAAGAAGAGCAAGTATTATCTGCAGTGCTAGTAACATTAACCTTTTGACTTAAGATTTCTATTTCTGTTTTTTTTTAGATTCCAGCAAAACACCTATCATTTTCTTACTCATATGTGACTACACATCACATCAACTTTGTGTTGCCCCTGAGGAATATGACTTTCCAATTTTTATAGGACATATTATTGGTATATGTGTTGTTTTAAACAATTACTATTTAAATCAAATAAGACAAGTAAGGAGCCATGATATGCTTTCATACTGCTGACTGGATATATAGAATTATTTTACCCATGTTCATTTGTGGGAGGGATTCAAAGAACTATCTGCAATCACACACAGAAAACTAATAGTTCTCATAATTTCTATTTATTTAGGAATCCATTTATCTCATCATTTTTTTTAGCACAAACACTTTTTATTTGGCTTGACATTTAGAGAGAGAGATATATAATCACACATTATCCCTTTTTTAATTTCCCCCCTTAGGAAAATGGTGTAAGGAGGGGAGATAAACTATGGTTCCATCATCCAAAGATGAGTAAGTCAGCACTTCAGAGAGTATCTTTCTGGTCTCTTTTTGAGGATGAGGGTTTATTACCAAATTGGTATCCCCCTTTTTTTATTTAAATTTTATTTTTATATTCCCCATACAATTACAACCCCCTTATTTTGACCCCAAGCCCTCCTTTCCCTGCCCCTCACCCACCATAGAGTGTCTCTGGTTCATAATTGTCGATTTTGATATTTTCTTTCTTATAGTTATTCATTTTCCTGGTCCCTTATTTAAGTTTTCTAGATTCCTGCTATGAGTGAGATCATCTGGTATTTTTCTTTTTCTTTCTGGCTTATTTCGCTGAGCATGATCCCTTCCAGCTCCATCCATGTTGCTGCAAATTGCATGTGTTTATCTTTTTTGAATGCTGAATAATATTCCATGGTGTATATGTACCACATCTTCTTGATCCAGTCATCTATTTTTGGGCATTTGGGTTATTTCCAAAGCTTAGCTATTGTAAATAGTGCTGCTATAAACATAGGGGTGCAGGTGCTCTTTGGAATTGATGTTTCTGTGCCCTGTGGGTAAATACCTACGAGTGGAATTGCTGGATCTATGGAATTTCTATGTTTAGTAGGTCAAGAAATCTCCACACAGCTCTCCATAGTGGTTGGACCAGTTTGCACTCCCACCAGCAGTGCAGGAGAGTTCCTGTTTCTCCACAACCTCGCCAACATTTGTTGTTGCTAGTTTTTTTAATATGTGCCATTCTCACTGGGGTAAGATGGTATCTCATGGTAGTTTTGATTTGCATTTCCCTGATTACAAGTGATGTTGAACATTTTTTCATATGCCTGTTGGCCATTTGCATTTCCTCTTCAGAGAAGTTTGTTTTTAGCTCTTCTGCTCATTTTTTGACTAGATTATTTTCTTTGTTTTTGTTGAGTCTCATCAGCTCTTTGTAAATTTTTGTGATCAATCCTTTATCATTAGTGTTGTGTGCAAATATGTTCTCCCAGTTGGTGGGGTTTCTCTTAGTTTTTGTTATTGTCTCTTTTGCTGTGCAGAAGCTCTTTAATTTGATGTGGTCCCAGCTGTTTATCTTTGCCTTCACTATCACTGCTTTGGGTGATGTGTCTGTAAAGATGTCTTTGATGTGCATATCATGTAGAGTTTCACCAATATTTCCTTCTATGTATTTTATAGTTTCAGGTCTTATGTCTAGTTATTTAATCCACTTTGAGTTGGTTTTTGTGCATGGTGTTAGGTAGTAGTCAAGCTTCATTCTTTTGCATATAGTGACCCAGTTTTCCCAGCACCATTTATTGAACAGACTTTCTTTGCTCCAATGCATATTCTTTGCTCCTTTGTCAAAGATTAGTTGACCATAAATATTCTATTCCATTGGTCTGTGTGTCTGTTCTTGTTCCAATACCATGCAGTTTGATGATTATGGCTTTGTAGTATAGTTTGAAGTCTGGGAGTGTGATGCCTCCATTCCCTTCTCTTTTTTTCAGGACAGCTTTGGCTATTCGGGGTTTTTGGTGATTCCATATGAATTTCATCAATAATTGTTCTATTTCTTTGAAGAATGACATTGAAATTTTGATTGGAATAGCATTGAATCTGTATATTGCTTTTGGTAGGATGGCCATTTTAATAATGTTTATTCTTCCAATCCATGAGCAGGGGATATCTCTCCATTTCTTTGTGTCTTCTTCTATTTCTTTTAACAGTGTTTTATAGTTTTCTTTGTATACGTCCTTTACCTCTTTTGTTAGATTTATTCCCAAGTATTTGTTTTTTTTGTTTTGATAATAAAAGGGATTTTTTTTTAATTTCTTCTTCAGATTTATTGTTTGTGTATAGGAAGGCTACTGATTTTTGTGTGTTGATTTTTTATCCTGCCACTTTACTAAACTGATTGATGAGTTGAATTAGTTTTTCTGTGGAGTTTTTGGGGTTCTCTATGTATATTATCATATCATCTGCAAATAGTGATAGTGACTTCTTCTTTTCCTATTTGGATTCCTTGGATGTCTTTCTCTTGTCTTATTGCTCTGGCTAGGACTTCCAGTATTACATTGAAAAGCAGTGGTGAGAGTGGACATCCTTGTCTTGTTCCAGATCTTAATGGAAATGCTTTCAGCTTTTCACCATTGAGAATGATACTGGCTGTTGGCTTGTCATATATGGCCTTTATGATGTTGAGGTATGTTCCTTGTATCCCAAGAATTTCAAGGGCTTTTATCATGAATGGGTGTTGCACTTTGTCGAAAGCTTTCTCAGCATCTATTGATATTATCATATGGTTTTTATATTTCTTTTTGTTGATGTGTTGGATAACGTTGATTGATTTTCGGATGTTGAACCATCCTTGTGTGCCTGGAATGAATCCTACTTGGACGTGGTGAATTATCTTATGGATACATTGTTGGATTCTGATAGCTAAAATTTTATTGAGGATTTTTGCGTCAGTGTTCATTAGGGAGATTGGCCTATAGTTTTCTTTTTTTGTGTTGTCCTTGTTCGGTTTTGGTATTAGTGTAATGTTGGCTTCATAGAACATGTTTGGTATTATCCCTTCCTTCTCAATTTTTTGGAAGAGTTTGTGAAGGATAGGCACTACTTTGTCTCTGAATGTTTGGTAGAATTCATTTGTAAATCCATCAGGTCCTGGGCTTTTGTTTTTGGGGAGGTGTTTGATTACCATTTCAATTTCGCTGCTTGTAATTTGTCTGTTTAGGTGTTCTATTTCTTCTTTATCTAGCTTGGGTGATTGTAGAGTTGTAGGAATTTGTCCATCTCCTCTAGATTGTTGAACTTGTTTCCATATAACTGTTCATAGTAGTTACTGATCATTCTTTTGATTTCTGCTGTGTCCGTTGTGATTTCTCCTCTTTCATTGATGATCCTGTTTATTTGTGCTTTCTCCCTTTTTTCCTTTGTGAGCCTGGCTAGGGGTTTGTCTATTTTATTGATTTTTTCGAAGAACCAGCTCTTGGTTGCATTGATCTTTTGGGATATTTTTTTAGTTTCAATTTCATTTATTTCTCCTTTGGTTTTTATTATTTCTTTTCTTCTACTGGTTTTGGGGTGTTTTGTTGTTCTTTTTCTAGATCTTTGAGCTTTGAGATTAGGTTTTTTCTTTGAGTTCTTTCTTGTTTCTTGATGTGAGCCTCTATTGCTATATATTTTCCTCTTATTACTGCTTTTGCTGCATCCCATACATTTAGGAAATTGGTGTCCTCCTTGTCATTCAATTCAAAGAATTTTTTAATTTCTTCTTTGATCTCTCATTAGTCCAGTGGTCTTCCATTTGTATGGTTTTCAATCTCCATGAGGTAAGAGAGTTCCTTGCCTTCTTTTTTATGGTTTATTTCT